AAAAAAAAAAAAAAAAAAAACAGTGATACAAGCACTGAAAAAGTGGCACATGTTTCAAGCATCGTTGCGACTTGAACTGAACCCTCCTGCTTCTTTTAGAATCTTCACATAGTCGCTTTTAGAGAAAAGAATACAAAGAATTATCAGTTCAGATCGTTGAAACATTAAATTTGATTCCCTCGGTGGCATCAAGCAGTGCTGTTTCACAACTTCTCGCTTGATGCTTACATTCTCAGTGCTATTTGTTGACTAACGCCAAAAAGATAATGCATGGAAAATTTCCCGATCAGATAAAGCATCAAACACTCAATCATCCACTTCTCAAGCGATTTCTGGATAGCTAACTGCAAGCAATATCGTTGGGAGCATTTTAACTGTAATAATCGTTTAGTGGCCCAGTGCGCCCATCACGCATGCAAAAAGCGAAAGTCCAAATGCCTGACACGTCAGATGTGAAACTATGATTTACCGCCGAAGCGAATCGTACAAGGATTGATTTTCCAGAGAGGTAAGAATCAGTCACCAGAAAAGTTGTCCAACATAAAAAATATATTTTCCAATTGAGAAAATTTAAACTCTAACCATCGTCACTATTCGCAGTGTTATAATTGATCTTCGTTATTTCAGTGGCAGTCAAATCAACAGGGCTAGTTGGCGATAAAGCAAAATTGTTTTGTGCCGAGTTGTAGCTGAGCGTGGTGACATTCATATCTGATGCATTGCTGGGATAGAGGTCGTAACCTATGGAACGGGCATACTGAGTACCGGCAGTAGACAAAGTGGTGAACATATTGCCTGTGTTCCGCTGGACTCCTCCGCCGGCTGCTCCACTGCTTGACAGTACGTATGCATCTGCAAAAAATTAAAAAAAAAAAAGCATTAGCCTCATTTCTCATTTCAAACGGCACAAAACGTTCAAACGGGTACCATACGTTGGATTAGAATCAGTGACGTGTCACCAAAATTATCTAAATGCTCGAAAAGATGAAGCAATGAATAAAACAACGCAAACGCAACTAACAATAAGCAGATTTATAGAAAAGAAACATTATATGTGGCGAGCAAGACAAAAAAAGATCAAGACAAAAAAAAAAAACGAAATGCTGAACGAAAACAAACAAATGCAGAAATGCTAAAAATACTTTTGTGCAGATCAAGCGTGGTTGGTTGTAAAAGAGTGCATGAATTTAAAAGACACATGTTATTCTACACCAGAAAGCGACAAGTCATACAGCACCAGCTGAACTGTGACAGCGAATATCAATCAGGGCTGGAACTGCTAATACGCTTCCTGAGTGCACAAACTGGGCTAAGTGCACTCGAAATCAACGGTTAGATTCGAGGTGCTCCGCAGTTGAGCGAGGTTTGTCATCGAAGTGAAAATGGGCAAACTTGAAAAGTGGAGCACCTCCACCTCTGCAGACACACTGAAGGAGAAACTTGAAAACTACAAGTGTCAGCGAAAAACGAAATAGTGCAGAAGAAACAGAGTCCGGAGAAGAGCAGGAGAGAACTATTCGTGACCAAATAGGCAATAAGATTTCTGTTAGATGAGCAGCATGCAGGACATCACTGCGACTATGCGAGAAAGTAAAACCCAATGGACAGAGCATGCTGCTCGTCCCACCGACAACCAGTGGAAATCAAGCAGCAGTGAGTGCCATGCACTAGAAAGTAAACGACCACTTGGATGGTCTTTATAAAGACGGCCCATACACACTGAACAGACGGTGAGTGCTAACTAGAGGTGTGCAGTCGGGAACGAAGGGCCGGGCACAGCTGCCCGTGGCATATGAGGGCATCGCAGTAACATCACTAGCACGGAATTCTCCTACGAACTGCTCGGACGATACTACCATTCACAACCATAAATAAATATGCTTTTTCAAATGTAAAACTGCAAGATGAACTCTACTGGCTGCACTCTGCACTTAAAAAAACTATTTTTACAAAAAAAAATATTTATGTGATAAAAATTCACCGGATGTTGAAACGGGGGGTAACCGCACAGAACTGACGGTGATGGGGTTCGCTGAGAAATCCGGGGAGTACTGAGCGGTACAACAGCGTGAACTTCCATTAGCTGCTCCGCCATGATAATTTGTTCGTGCACCGTCTGTTCGCAATTCGCTCTCTGTAACTCCTAAAATTAACACAATGGCTATAGCTTCCAAAGCAATATGACTGATAAATTAGTGTTGCCTTTTCTCAACATCAAATCGCTTGATGAACAAAAACAGCAACCCTTCCGAAGCTCGTAATAAAAGACATCGCTGCTTATTTTCATCCACGAAAAATTCAACACAAAAGTGCGCAACAGACGAATAATAAGGTTCGGGTGGGGTAGTATATGAAGCTGTTCGGCACATTAAAATGCTCGATTAGTAAGCTTCTAAAAGATCAAAAAGCAACGACTTGCCAAGTCATTTGTCCATGTTAAGGATATCATCATTCGGGAAGAGGTGTACCAATGTAAATTACTTAATTTGCAATAAAAAAGGATAAAAGAACCGACGAAACACACATAATATGAGAGAAATTCAGAATTCCTGTTCAAGAAAAACACGAAAGAAGAAATCCAAGAAAATACCGTTACTTGCATATGAACTGACTGCGCAGTTCGCTGGCACGCAACTTCTGTTGTACAAAGCGATTCCATCTTTCGAGTCATAATTGACGTCCTCGATTCTGACTGAGGTGCCACCAGTGAACTCGTCTGACACGTTTCCGTCCTGGCCTTAAAATAGCTATTGAACAAGCAAAAAAGTCGTTAAATATCCAAGCAAGATAAAAAATGCAGAAGTGGTTTCTGAATCACTGAACTACATGAACTTGTAATCCCATCCATCAGCTTCACATGGTACGTAGAATCATAAATCCCCGAACAAAATATCCGCGCAAGCAAATTCCAGTTCACTAAAATCCATCCCTCATCCCTTCCCTCTTCCCCGCTTTCCCTGCTGTAACCACCTTAAACAAACAGTAGGCTGCAACAGAACCCCGAAGTTCACCGGCTAAATTTTGTTATCAATTTTGGCAAAAAAAAAGAACTAAAATGCTACTGGTAAAAAGAGCAATTTCACAAATCGAAATGAAAAGATCAAACTTTGGGCACGAAAAAGAGTTCCAGGGAGCAATTCGTTGCGCTGTTGCGCTTGAAAAATCCACTGCAATACTTCGTCGTTTTTCGTCACCGGCCGACCTGAAAAATTTTTAGTTTTACCAAACTGGATTAACAGAACAAAGCTTCATGATTTCTCCAGCAAATTATGCATATAATTATACATATACTATTAAGTAATTTTACCGTTTTTCACGCAATTAAAAAAATTCCTTTTACATCCGCTAGTTTTGAGGAAAAAGCCCAAACTAGGCTCAGCTAACTGCCAATCTACAGCTTCTTGAACTTTTCTAAGCAGCTTATTGGAAAATTAATTCCTCAAATTGCTGAAATTATAACTAAATAATGCAGGAAACTGTGTAAATGACAAAACTGAAAGGAATTTTCTAACAAAAATTAAATGTATTCTCAAACAAATCACAGAGAATTTAGTAAAGTCGTCCTGAATAAAAAGCACATTTTTTTTAGTACAGCTAGCCGTCCCTCTCCTCCCCATCTCCTGCCCCAAACACACAAATGTGTGTTTTCTTCGGTAGGATAAGCTTTGGAAATGCACACTGAGTGGAACCAAACAAGCGAAATTCATCGGAAGCACGCTTGCTTTCCACCAAAAATACCCAACTCGATGAATATTCAGAATAACCACGAAAAACAAAATGAAATTAAGCCTTTTAAGACAAGTTCACTGCTAACCAACCAAGATTTTCTTCCTCTTTTAGTGGAGTCAAAACTTCCTCCTTCACATGCGTTAAAGAGTAACGTGATGCACATCGCTTCTCGTCCAAAAATGATTCTGATTCAGTCTGGGTGCTGAAATTAGTAAAATGGCTCTGTTTTCTTTGCAGAAACTTCGAAAATTTTCTTTAATTTGCACTTTTTTTTTTTGTCAAAACTGAATTTCAAACGAGCATCCGACTGCTCATATTCTCCTAGCAATGAGAAAAATGCATAAATTCATCATCATCTAATATTGTAGTCCATAAACGACTGGGCAGCTGCAACATTTTACGTAGCTGAATGTTTGCTTGCACAGTGATAAAAATTTTTTGGAACAAAAAATATGCTACTTGAAACAGAGGCAATGTAAGCCGATGGGAAGGAAAAATGTCAAAACAGACCCAAGCAAGTCATGCTTGCAGATAATATACTGCCCTTTGTGCCCTTTTGTTGTATGATTTATGGCAGTCGCTTCCGTCTGTACCCACAGCACTGTTTTGTTTGCTCCGATCAGGCGATAGTACGGAGTTCGAGTGTAGCCTTTTGCAAGCAATTCGCGAATCGATGCAACCACAGCGTCAAGATCGGCCGGATAGACGAGGTTAAAGAATGAGGTACCCATCAACGAGCGACTTTCGCGACACACAATGTAGTTGAAGCTGAAAAAAATAAAAAGTACACAAACTGCTGGTGATTTTACTTCTGAGCACATGCTGAGTGTATTGCAACCCTGTATAGAAAGCACCTGTGTTCGACAACCACTGGCGACGAACCAATGTGAGTCGATGAAGATCTACTAAAGACACAATCAGCGCCACAAACTAGTTCCGAAAAAAAAAAAAAGAAACTGATAAGTTCTGATTAAATTCTGACATGTCTAAATTTTGCCAATTTGCCAAACTCCGAAATTGCAACACTGTTAAAAAAATTGATAAAAATGGTAATAGACAAGAAATTAATTGAAGTGGCATAGATCTACAAACATCGATCAGGCGGTAAATATTAAGCTCTGAACCCAGGGGGGAGCGGGAGAGGGGTGGAGGGGGGAGGGGAGAGGGGCCAAGTTGTGTCCGATGTGTCTGTGTGCATCTTAGAAAAAGCACAAACATCGAAATTTCACACCCACTGCGCAAAAGATCTTGGCAATGGCACAGACATACTTTTCACTGACATATGAGAATTTCATATCAGAAGTATGCCGGGTCATATAGGTACCATTTGGTACATCAACGTTTCTTGCCGCCACAACAGCGTTACTGCCCTGTCCAGCCGGCTGCGCACTCGCCTGCATAACACGTATTCGTATTTGTCCCGAAGCATCTACCAGCGAACGCATATGACAGACAACAGGCTGAAAATATCCAAAAATTTTAAGTAAATTAAACAACTCAAACTCCTATTACCATAATTGGTGGTCTTATTTTACACACACATACACACACACACGCACACACACATACACACACACACACACGCAGACATATATATATGTATATATATGTATATATATATATATGTACACATATATAAAGAGTTCTAATAATTGATAAATATCAAAAGTTTAAAAATCAACCAATCAAAAAATTATCTACGACGGTATTCGACAGAAGGGGAAATACTGGAACAGAAACAACAAGTTTTCGGAAGCATAAAGCAATATTTGCTATATATTTGAACTCCATTTTTGAGAAGGAAAAAAGGATTATGAATCGTACAGTAAAGAATAAAAATTTTTAATAAGTTATTCTGAAGGAAAAATCTGCTTAATCCGACTTAATAGCGTCCTCACATCTTACCTTGTACAAAGCACTTTTAAAATTAAGATTCCTGCCGCGTGGAGTGATAACGGATTTCATTCTCAGTGTCGTTATCCGGTCACACGCAGCGCTGGCAGTGCTACCACCGGCAGTATCAAATCTTATGAGCTCATCGTAATCACTTGAGTGAACGAATTCTTTTAGCGGACGTCCCGTTAGCTCCGTCTGAAAACGTATAAAAGCAAAGATTGACGCACCCTTTTAGGAATGCGAAAAAAATAAATGGCAACGCGCACCAGACTAGCCGGTGCAATCATGCA